CAGCATGACATAGTCAACAACTAAAGAAAATAAAGGCTAACTCAATAATGTTTGTGCTAAAAAAAAAAAAAAAACTCAAAGAGGAAACAAGATCTTGATCAAACAGATAAAAACAACAACAAAATGCTTTAATTATCATATTGTAGAAATTACATTTGTTCTGGCTGAATGACAAACCTTAAGCTGTTCAGGCTCCCAGGAATCAAGGGTGAGGGACCGAACTTTGGAGAGGTGAACACCGAGACTCCTGTGTACACACATGAATATATGTATTCATTATTTTTACCATCAAGTATTAAAAACATAAAAAACACCTGACCTCAACATGGCGAGAAATACTGTTACAATAAAATCTGTTACATAATTTAAAAGCACTATTTCTATTTGATGTTGATTATTCTAATTACAATAAAACAACTATAGTAGTCATCAATATTAATGTATCAGTTCCTAAAAAACTGTTAATGTATAATCAGCATAGACTTTAATATCAAGGCGCTGGAGTGAGGCCCCAGTCTTCAAAGATGCTTGGGTTCATACCACCGCTGCCACTATGTGTCTTAATGAGGAATTTGAGGTTCTTAACACAGGATGAAGGTGTTTATTCAAGCCAATCAAATAAATCGCGAAAACAAATAAAGGTATTTTAAGAGTTCACTAGTGCACGAGGGCATCTAAGAGTTAAAACATTGAAACTTTTGAGCTTTATGCTAACTCAATGCAGTCAGCAATGCCTTTCAACACCAAAAAACAAGCATTCAGAGAGCAACCTCAACGCAGGTCCCTCAACCTCAGCTTGAGTTTCTTTATCTCACATCAGGCCTGTACTCCTGTGTTTGGTTCAGCTTTATGTCTCTCTCCAGCCTTGTCTCTGCTCTCTTTAAACCTCTCTCTATTTTTAATCAGCTTATATCTAGTAGTCCTTGTCCCTAACCTAATCAATGTGAACCAATCACAGGTGTGTACACTTCAATCAAACTAATCAGTTCCCAATTAACTCACATGTAATTAATATTTAATTACAAGATGAAAATGCTTTTGGGGGGGGGGGGGGTGAAGTGTAGGCATCTTATATTTTCACTTACATTTTTTAAACATTTTAATAAAAATAAAGATTGAAAAAATTGACTTTTGCAAAATAGACATTTCAATATAATTTCTAAATTAATTAATTAATTAATTAATTAATTTTATTGTTAACTATAACAAAAGTCAACTAATATGAAATTCATATACGGTAAATATTACAATCCTAGAAACTTAGACACTAATAAAGACACTCTTACAATGTTTTTTGGATTTACAATATGTTAAATATGCTAATGCTGTGTTTACACATTTATATATATTCTAAAAATCTTTGGAAATAAAAACAATAAATATAAACTATATGAGTTTCATGAAAAAAGACTAATGAATCGTTATAACCTTCAACTTTGTGTTTGGTCAAGCTGAAAGTGTTTAGACACTTTATATTTAATTATAGTTAAATAAATATACACCTGTGGATCCCAGAGCACTCGATGCACATAGTGATGCCCAGATTGACACTGGCCCAGCGAGGCTCTGGCTCCCCACAGTCACAGCAATGCTGGTTACCATGGCAATATAGAGCCACAGCCAGGGCTGGAGGATGGGAGGGCGGAGCAAGAGCCGGTACAGGAATAGAGCTTTCCTTTGCCTGAAGACAAAACATGTTTAAAAGAAAACACTATTCTTTTATCAAACCATTGTATTGCTAGTGACTGAGCCAGAAAAAAACACACGGGTTTATAAGTGACTGTCTCCGCACCTGAGTGTTCTGTTCAGGTGATTGATCTCGATAAGCCTTATCGATACAGGTCTGAACAGCATTTATCCAGGCTGATCTCAGCTCCTCTGAATCAGCCTGCAACACACAACACCTACACAACACACAAACACAGCGTCTGCTACACTAAACATTTCAGACAGAATACCAGCTTTAAAGCATTTATATAAAATATGTACATATATTGATAAATGTAATGATCTTTGTGTGACCATCTCACTTCTGCACGGAAAGAAGCTCAAAACAGAAGAGGCGGTCGATTGTGTCCAAGGATTTTATTCCACACAGACGTAGATCATCAAAGAGAACCACTGGAGGCTCCTGAAACACAGACACACATCACTTTAATGAAAGAAAATCATTCAGTAGTTGCACGGGGAACGTGTCAGTTTCACTGTCCAGTCTTTATGATTGAGGTTACGATGCTTTGTTTACCTTGTGCGATTTTGAGTAGATTAATTGATTATTTTCAGTAGAAAACCAGCACCTGGATAATGGAAACATTCATGAGTTTGTACAATATTAGTATTTTTGTTAAAAAGTTTATATTTTCAGTCATTTACAGTGTGTTTGAGGATTTCACAATACTATTGACTTTAACCATCCAAGTGACTGAATTCCAAACACTTGCATATTGCATAAATAGAAGCACCAATTAAACTAAATTCAAAGCTGCCCTTAAAAAGCCTTCCTAGAAGAGCTGCGGCTGTTATTGGTGCAGAGAGTGGATTGCAATGCAGTATATTTGGTACCAATAATCATGCATCAATATTTATTCACGACACTGGAAAAACTACAGGCACGTAAGTTTATTAGATAAGATCAGCTTTATACTCTCAGACCTCTTCCAAGTTTTGTTCTTCTTCCGAGAGCGTTTGAACAGAGGTCCTTGAACGGTTCCTCCGTCTGAAGGGTTACACACTAGAACTGCTTCTCCAGATGCATCCTGATGCACACAAACGTCGTGTTACGAAGCAGATACAGTCGTTCATTCGTTTACACACCCTAGCGAAATTGAAAAAATGATTATGAATATAAAATATTAAGAGCTTTTGATCAGGGTTTAATGGAATGTTTATGTTGTCGTTCTGATTTATAATGAGTGAGCGCAACTGTTTGACAAAAAAATGGCCTCACCAAACTACTAACCATGAGTGGTAAATAATGCTTTTAATGCTATGATTAATCTTTACTGAAAAATTAAATCAGAGCATTTGTATACGTATGAGCACAACTGTATGAAACATCCAGTTCAAACTATGACAGCTGATAACAAACATAATTATAAAAGGTAAAATCATTTTACTTACAGATATACTTTTTTCAATCTCCCTTCATCACTTAGTACTTGGTTTACATTTACATTTATGGCAGAAGCTTTTATCCAAAGCGTCAATGAACAAACTAATTCAGTTGCTTTACCTGGGATTTGATCACATGACCTTGACATTGTTAGTGCTGTGCTCCACTGACGGAGTCAACGGAAAACAAAACATAGTTTGATAAATGGATAACTTTGTTACATATTTTTCACGAGTATGCAATGAGTCAACGGAACAGAGAGCAATATTTATATTGAAGGCAGGGAATACTAGTATATTGCCACAAAACAAAGCATGCCTATTTCTTTTGGATCACAAACAAACATTGATGTAAAAACTAAATTATAAATAGATACAGCATAAAGTTGCTTTTCCGCTGCTAGACAAGTACTGCAAGCACTTCTCACCCTCTGTTGAACTAATAGATGTGTGTTTTCCAGATCTTTCTTCATAGCCGAACAGTCAGATGACAACTGAGAGAGCTGTGAATTTAAATATTACAAGAACTATTTTACATCTGCATAAAATATTAAAAATGATAAACATCTCATGGGAGTTTTCTGACCTGTGAGGCCATGGTCTTCATGGTGGGTTCAAGATCTCGCAGTAAATCAAATCCCTGATGGAAAAACGTGTACTGAGCATGAAAATACGAAAAGATCTGGAAGAGAAAAAGATGGTGTTAGTTCATCGCCGTTTTATCAAAGGTGTTTTCCTGTTGTTCACTCACCGAATTAAGAATATCCAGTTTCTGCTGGACTCTGAAATTATTCAGCTGTGAGAGAGACATAAAAAGTGATTCAATTATTTTTAAAGTCTTTTATTGCAAAGTCTCAAAGATAAATGAAATCTAAAAATTGTGTGTTTCTAAAAAAATATATGTAAATTTGAATTTAAAAACGTTTTGAGACTACACAGCTAAGAAGGCTAGGGTCTAGTTTGATTGGTATGAGAGTCACCGCCCACTATACCATGGGGCCAGACTACACACGTATTAATTAAAGGATTGTGTAAAGACAAGGAGATCCAAATGAAACACTTTTATTGTGGTGACATTAATGAAGAGGCAACGGTCTAAAAACAAGGATGTGGAAAAGAAGCTTGCTGTGTATTCAGTACATCACTTATCACTCTCACTATCACTGAAGCTCTCCCTTGCTCACTCTTTTTTGCTCAGGAATCCCAAACACACATCCAGCTCCTTTAGTTCTCCTGCTGCACTCACAAAGGCGCATGAGGACTAACAGCTCTTAGGTAAACATGTAAATGCTCCTATGGATGTCACAGTGTATAGAAGAGCTGGAGAAAACTGACCCGAAAGCTATTTATGGCACTGTTCTAACAGCACAAAAGTAGTGTAGCAAACTGCAGTCGGTAAGAAAGGTTACTATTGGATGACCCAGATGATGTCATCATTCAATAGGCATATAGACCAAACATACAAAAACATGCACATTACAAACGGAATAATAATAAATTCTTGGGAATTGGTTGAGGTGAACAACAGCAACAGGTGCAGTACCTGTAGGCAGTAGTCGAGGGCAAAATGCTGGTGGCATTTCCGTGTCGCGACCAGCAGGTGAGTTGCTCGCTCAGCCTCGGAGGCTTTGAGGCGACTCATCTGAGCGTTTTTAACCACCGCCGCCTCCAGATCGTCTCCGATACGAACAAACTCTCGACGAGACTCTCGCATACTAGGAAGAAACCTGACACCGAAATAACAGCTCATTTAAACATTTATTTGCATTATTGTCTCTAATTTGGTTTTAATAAAGCTATTGCTTTACTTGCTAGCTATTGCTTTAAGGAGATTTGGTTGCTTGTTTATTTTACAATTTATTTTCAAACAATTATTTACATAATTGTTTGCTTTCCTGTGGCTCAGTTGGTAGAGCATGGCGCTAACAACGCAAAGGTTGTGGGGTCAAATCCCAAGGAAAGCAAAAACTCACAGAAAATATATGTTCATTCAAATGTAAGTCGCTTTGGATAAAAGCGTCTGCCAAATGCGTAAATGTAAATGTAAATTAATTTTACATAGTGTATTTTCTATCTCTCTTTTTAGGTGTTTATATATTTGCATCTAATCCTTGCGACAGAAAAATGCATCTATTCAAGAGAATTGATTAAGAATTGATTGAGACCTAAGGTGGATGATAATGAACGACTTGGCTTAAAGACAATTTTCATAGCCTTTAAAAAAAAAGTAATTTTGCACTTCTTTTTTTTTTAAATGTGGTATCCCCTGCTAGTAAACCTTGGTGAACGTAACAAAAAAAGAAAACAGCCATTCATGACCCCTTTAAGTATGCTTTTTGCCAATTTACTTTGTCTCATGTGGATGTACTTCTATAATACGGGAAAATAAAGACTCTCAGCATGGAGCATGACCTGTGTGTTTTATAAATACAAATTAAAGTCCATTTGCAATTAGTTTGAAACTTTTTTACAAAGACAGTTTGTATGCACTTTCGATCCGAGAAACCAGCAATGGCACAAAAGTGTTTAATTTTGTCGCCCCTGATCTGTGGATACTCACTGGGAGAGTAGGTTCGAGAGCTGCTGAGTGATGGCTCTCTGGGTCTGATCAAACAGCATCTGCAGCAAAACACTCTTTTTAATTGAGAGAAACCTTTTACTTCAAACCAAACAATCGACAAACACCAAACTCACTGTTTGAAACTGGATCATCTCCTGGAGGCCTTGGTTAAACTGGCGAAGGCAGTTCTACACAAACACATGTCAAGAGAGGCTCAGGTAAAGATTGAATAAATGCATCCAACTGCAAGTGCTTCTCTTTCCAGAACCTTCTCACTCTCTGTCGCCGGCTGGTAAAAGCACAGGTGAACACCTTTTTTTATCAATTTCTGAAATTTCTCTCTTTCTCGTCACATTAAATATGACCACACCTCTGACACCTTGTTAAAAGTGTACTGTTAGAGAAACCTTTAAAACTACCTAAATGTTATGAGTCACTGCTCTGAATTGTGAAGTATACAAAAGTCAATAAAATAAATAAATGACTCAATCAATGAAAAGCAGAATTTCTTGGATTTCTAAAGCTTCAAAGCTCCAAAAGATTAGTCAAATGATCAAATGTATATTGTGCATTGTTACTCACCAGAATCACTCCATCACTCTTGTGATAGATGGTGAACTCAGCTAGAGCTGAGAGAAAGAGTTGATTACAGGAGGAGTAATTCTGACCCGCGTCCACCATCTGATTACACAACCTCTTCACCTTTAAAAGAAACACAGAGCGAAAGAGAAAGAGAGAAACCATCACTTAAAGAGATTTTCCACAAAAAGTTATGTTTTGAAGGATTAATTTAATTATGTTCCTCACAATTTCATTTTGTCTAGCACTTTTATAGATATTTGATTATTTATTGAGTGCTTCCTTTACTATTAAGCTGAGTGAATAAATACATATACACCCTATTGCTCTCGGCGTGTTTGCTGTTTCAAAAAACCTGGTGAAAGATGCACGTACTACATACGTTCTGATTCTCCGTCTAGGGCAAAAGGAGACCTCCGCCTAAAAGTTCTAAAAGCTATAAAAAGACCAGGTCACCTGGAAGTTTCAACTGCTAGTTCGCTAGGAGGAGCAAATTTTTGTAAATATTTTTTGTAAATATTTGGATATTAAGCCCTCTCCTGTCTTCTCTGGAATACATTATTATATATTCCTTTCAGTTTATGTCTCAATTCTGTTTCTCAGTGGAAGAAAACCAATGCAATATTATAAGGTAAAATTAATAATATGTCGTAAAATAAATCCAATTACACCACACTTATGAGAAATAATTGACAAACTGAAAAAGTAAGAGACCAGTAGTTAAACTCAAATATAGAAAACTGATTTAAGAGCGTGTGGTGGAGGAAGGGCGCAATAAAATTGAAAGAAATGAAGAGAGCCAAGCAGTTAAACTGAAAAGAGGTAAAAAAAAAACTAAAAGGGCGAGGATGATTAAAAAATTAATGAAGAGCCCAGTAAATGAATGTAAAAGAAGAAAACTAACTACAAAAGAAATAAGCAAAAAGAGCCCAGCAGTGAAACAGCTAAAAGAAAAAATACCATTAAGGCACAGACATGAAAACAGCTCAACAATGAAATGGAAAAGCAGTAAAAAAGTGAACAGTGAACTTGAAAACAAAAATCAAACAAACAGAAAAACCCAACAGTACAACTGAAAATAAGTAAACTTGACTAAAAGGGTCCTGAGAGTGTAACAGAACAAAAATTAAAGAAGAGTCCAGTAACAAAGTGAAAAACAGGAAAATGAACAAAGAGCCAAACAGTGGAAGTGAAAACATGAAATCCATATATTCCTGATGTACTGTTAACAAAATACTTACTTTTTCCACTCGACCCTCCAATTCTGCAATCTCACCCTCACATTTTTCCAGAGACTGTCTACAAACACACAGACATGAAATAGTAGGGTTTTTTTCCCAAATGATAGTTATCAAAATGTAAGTAACATGATTTTATTTTGCATATTAAAAAGAGATGAAATGTTAGTTCAGCTGTCTCTTTTGAGAAAGGTTCATGGATAAACCCTCTGAAATAAATCAAGAAAAACAAAAAGGAAATGTTTGGGTTTTAAACAGTTAGTAGAGATTGAAAATAGGTATATTGAAAGATATTATTATTGGATAGGAAATCAATTTTTAATTTAACCTTGCTGTATAACTTTAAATAAAATATAGTAATATTACAGTTTAACAATATTAAATGTAAATACTTGAAAGTTGGAGAGTCTCGGACACATTCCTCGAAATCCAGAAAAGTGTCCATTCTGAGTGTTATCAATTTTATTTAATTAAATCCGCTTTTGTAGACCGATAACTGAGTAGCATCTCCTCATCATGAGCCGTTATTTCTCTACGTCCACCACTTCGTCACAAATGCTCACGAAAAACATTCGAAATTTCGGTCAAACCATAGATTTAAACGAACAGCAACGTGTTTATTATATCTGATATATTTTAAATAAATGAGAAAGAGTTAAATTAAGTTGACAGCTGTTAAGAGGCTTGTCCATGTTGATGTGAAGGGAACTTCCGGTGTTGTTAAGAGTCATGTTGCTACAGGATGTAAGGTGGGTTTCAAAATAAAAGCATGCACTTGAAAACTTTTTAAGTGTAATCTATTACAATTCAACAGACAAAAAAACTATTTAACAAATAACATTACATTCTATTGGTTGCTGCTTTCATGTCATGGACACCCCATAAAGTGTAATCAAGTTCTTTCTAAAAATACATGTTTAAATGTTAAACAATGTTAAACAGAGAAACCAAAGCACAACTCAAGTTATTGACCACAGTGTGTCGTATATCTGAATGCCAATTACCCCAGCATGGATTTTGGGTGGCGAAGAGGGAACAGACTAAATTGAACAGAAAGCCATTGCAGATGTTGAGGTATAGGAGTGATGTGATCAGAGTCTTGCAGATTTTGCTGGAGACCACGAAAGAGTGCATTACAATTTTCAAGATGTGATGTGGCAAATGATTGTACCAGAGAAATGGACAGAACTAGATCATTCTAGACTTCTTATATTTTGTAATATAAATAACATACATTTCTCATATCCACACATGCACATGCCTGCACACACACGCACACACGCACACACACACTCACCCATAAGATCTCCTATCTTTTGACATAGAAACTGTTATAAAAATCAATTAAGAAAATGAGTAAAAAAAGAGAAGAGATAGAAACTTAGTCTGTATAAAAAGTTTATTGTTCAATATTTGATGCAAAAAGCGCTGAAAGCGAACCGTGTTTTCAAAACAAAAATGATAATTTTCAGCATTATAAACAACCTCTCAATTAACACGCTCAAGTGTGTGTACAGTGTTTCAGAACTCAATCGAGACCAGTATGACAGTGACATTATCAGCACTGCCCCGCCTCACAGCCTCACTGGCTAATCGTTGACAAGCAGCTTCATAAAGCCCCGCCCCTTCACTCTGCCCCTCCTTCAACTCCACTGTCTCCGTCTGAAAAAAAAATGTACATAATAAAGATTGGATAACATAGTTTGACAAAGAAACAGCAATTTTCTGGATTTGTTATAAAAAATAAATTCATATAAATAATAATTGTGATTAAACAATTTGAGTTTGACATATGTAAAATTAATAAGCTCCTGTCTAACAATCCTTAACTGAAACACCAGGGCACAAAGGTTAGAGGGTGATTGTTAACATCTGCATATAATCCATAAAATTGCAGATATCAGATTGAGGAACACACGCTTACCTCGAGGATTTTGAGGACAAACTGCACAGCTTCATCTGCAGAAAACACTTTAAACAAACCATCACAAGCCAAGAGGACAAACCTGAAGAAACCAAAGAAGAAATAAAAAAAAAAATACTGAGCAAGAAAATAAAATATGCATGTTATAGATTACTGCAGTATGTGCTTCAGCAACAATAATCTGAAGGAAACAGTGCTAGTCTATGGAACGATCTGTGTGTTTACATAACGGTAATCATGCATTACACAGTTCAAAAACCAAGTCTACAAAAATATCCATTATCAACAATGATCCTGATATCTATAAGAGTTACAGTTTTTGTGTCATTGAATGCTTGAGTGTTAAACGCACTTGTCGTTGGGGCTTATCGGACAGCGTCTCAGGTCTGGAGTGGAGATCACTCCGCATCGCTTGTACTGACCATCACCGATAGAACGAGACACTTCCAGAACCCCCAGCACACGGCCATCCCTGCAAATAAACAATGAAATGAGGAAGCAATAAATTTGAACATTTTCTAGTTTTTTTTTTTTTTTTTTATTCTGAAAGACTTTTGTGCTGGGGTCAAATTAATATGAAAAAAGTGAGCACCAGGGGGCAATAGTTCTGTCTTTTTAATCAATGATTATTGTATTAATGAAAGAATCATTAAATGACACAAA